ATTTTTTTTCAGGCCCTAATCACCCAATGAAACCTCACAGACTTACTTTAACCCATAATCTTGTGTTCAACTATGCTCTTCATAAGAAGATGGAGGTGAGACCTCTTTAAATTTATCTCAGTTTGTATTTAGGGGTTCTATATCTATTTTGGTCTTTTAATTTGAGGTTGATTTATGAAATATTTATAGTTAAGTTGTTTACTAAGCATGAACTTTTAGGAGCTTGCCTCATGACTACACAGGCCCTTCAATATTGTTGCCTTTGAATGCTTTGGGAATTAAAAACACTGGCATCCATATTTTCTGCAAATGCAGTTGGTGTCCCTTGGTTCAGTGGTCATTCTGCAAGCCATTGCTTAAACACTAAGGGTCAGTTATTTGTACATGGTCTAACCCAAACCACAGTTTTATACAATCAGTGGACCTCAGGCTCTCTCTATAAGAGGATTGATTTGATTAATTACTTAACCCCTGAGAGAAACTAGCTTTTAATTTCTTCTCACATTCATCATCATCATCATCATCAGGCCAAGCTTGCTTGGTATTGCATGACACACTCCCTCAACCTTCACCTCCACCTCCACCTTCACATTGACACCCACAAATCACATATTAAGGTCATGAGAATAAACAAGATGATCACCAACCAAAGAAGTTCTTGCTTGTTAACCAATTCCTTGCCAGCACCTTAGGAAATTTATAGAGAACAGTATAGAGATTGTCCATACTGATGTTGGGGTGTTAAGGGTTAAGTAACTGTCCCTCCACTGTGAGCTTTCAGCCCTTTTGACACTGTTGAAAGTTCAGATTAAATATCCAACTAAATTGAGCATTGTTTTGGATGTGGTTTAATGTTAATCAACAGCCAAACTGTGTCTAAATAATCAGAAGTTCTTATAGTCAAAACTTTTAATTAGAAAAACATCTGCGGACAATGGTATGGCAATGGTAACCCTTTGACCAAGAGTGACTAGCCTCTAATTTCTCCTTACAGTTTCACCACTGAATCACACATTAAGGTCACAGGAAGAAAAGAAATGATCACCAACTAATGCAGCTCTTGATTGTTAAACAAATTCTCCTTGTCAGAGCCCTCAGAAATGTATAGAGAACAGTATAGAGAATATGCATACTGATGTTAACACCATGTAAAGGGTTTAATGTGCATTTCATTTAAATCATTTTTCCAGTGACTAGAATTTCACTTTAATTTCTGCCACTTTTTTAAGATTTTAGCTCATCTCATGGGCAGGTAGAAAAATTTGAGCTAGGATACTCTAGGTACAGTGAATACTGTGTACTTGGGGAATCCAAAGTCTATGCAGTCTGTACAATCTATTCAGTCAAACCATTCCCACAAGGAATGGGAGGGTGACTGTTTAAATGTTACGAGTTGATTGCTTAATACAAGTTCTCTAGATTGGGGGTATCATACAAAATGACAACCAATGCCATTTTATGCCATAATCGAGCCATTAATGTACAGAATCTCACCTGAAAATACAACATACTTTGATTTTGGGAGAGAAATATGGATGAAAAGTAATTGCTTGAAAAAATTATTCTTAGTTTTATTTGAGTGATCCAATTTTCAGTGACCTTTCAATACAAATTGAGGACAGTACAAAGAGATTACCCTCAGAGAGTAACCATAGCTGGTTAACTCTCTAACTCCCAGATAAAATTTGTAATTCTCCTTATGGTCAACCATACAATTTGTATAATGTTAGTTACGAGAATTTAGTATTGGATCAACTAATTATCCCCAAATTGATATTTTTCTTTATTCTCATCACTTATCTGGTTGATATTGTATTGATATTGTAAGGAGAAATTCTGTCTTGGTCACTCATGGGAGTTAAAGGGTTTATAGAGGTGACCACTTCATAAAGGTATTGATTACAATTATTATGAGGAAACAAATCTGGGATTTTAACAAGTGACTGCTTAATATAGGGCAATGGCTTAATACCATGCTGCTAAATACAGGTTCGACTGTACACATTTCCTATTTATCTACAGGTGTACAAGCCTTATAGGGCAACTTATCATGACATGTGCAGATTTCATTCCAGTGACTACATACAATTTCTACGAAGGTGAGTGATACCAGAACTCTGAGAAATTTCATGCTTCTGAATCTAGCATGATTTTCAGCTGTCATTCTCCTAAATTCGCTAATGTTTTAATGTACATGTATCTTTCTGCAAGTTTTATTTATTCACTGTCTTGGCCTTGTTTTGGTCATTGCAGGGTAACACCACAAAACACAGGGCAGAACAAAACATTGAACAACTTTAATGTTGGAGAAGACTGGTCAGTATTTTCCATCTTTTGTTTCAGTTATTTTTTCCTTCTGTGTTTATTTTTCTTTTTAATGCCAATACCTTATTCTAAACCTGTGTTAAAATTTCTCCTTTATTGGAGGAAATCTCTTGGTAAAGAGAGTGACTTCATTACTTTTGATACACGTAACTCACATATGTCATCCTATGCAATCTGGAAACATAGAAAGGTTCTGTATGTCTGTTTTTTACTAAATTTTATTGAAAATTGAAACCTTCTCATGGAAGTGAAACCATTGATACTGATAAATAACAACTTCCATGGTTAGGCAGAGAATAGGAAACCATTTAACTGAGTTTTCTTACAAGTATTTTTTTTTTGTTTTTCTACAGCCCTGTGTTTTCTGGCCTGTTTGACTTCTGTTCCATTTATACTGGTGCTTCACTTGAAGGTGCAGTTAGGCTTAATCAAGGGGTAGGTAAAAAATAAGATATAGAACAG